TTTCTATTTACACTTAAAAAGACCAACGTATCTTCTCATAAATAGCATTTTTTATTACAACATTGTTACTCAAAAGAACTTGATGATATATTTCCGTAATTCAGACGAGAGATTTTGAGTCAAACTCTGGGCTCGGTGGACATGCACATTGTGTTGACATGTTAGTCTGTGTGCTGTCGGTGCAGGGCCCCAGACCAAGTCGGTTGAATTATTTTTTACTTTAACGTGGTGTTTTATTTTGAAAAAATGGCCACTTCCTTTCTTCAAGAATCCTACATTATATAACATTATAATATTTACATTATACGGTATATGTAACAATGAAATGTTTTTTTCTTAGAGGTTTTTGATTCACCTTTGTGTTTCTTTCGTACTGATTCCTATTTTTTTATTAGTGTTTAATAAACGAAAGTCAATAAATCTCTCTTACAGCTTATGATGGAAATATTCTTAATAACTCACCAGAATAAACTGAGACTAAACAGTAGTCAGTTCACGTCCTGACAGACAGGGATTTGAACCGACACTGAAGGAGTTCAGCTGTTGGAATTCATTGTCATTTGCTGAAGACACAGAATTCACGTAGCTTTAAAGAGATCTTGCTTTTTTTTAAAAAAAGAGTTGCAAAACAATTTCCAAGCATTTGTTAGTTTATACCATGGAATGCAGAGGCTGTCATCGTAAAATAAGGAAGCTGTTGCACAACCGTGACTGAACACATGGTTTAAAGGAGAAAAGCAGACCTCACCCAGAAAATGTATATTAGCATCTACTGTACAATTCTATAAAGAAAAATGACACTGAGACTTGAACTGGGGTGTCAGAGCAGAACTTATTGAAAAATGATTTTTTTTAAAAGTCATTTGTTTATTTTAGATCGAAGAAATGTGGTTTTTTTTATTGTAGTTGCAAGAAATATTGTGATTTGGAAAGGTCCGGTCATGGGCCCACGCCCCATACCTTCATCTATAGTCTGAAATCCTAGTGTGTCCTAGTGTGATAATCTGACACTGGAGTAAGTTCTGTGAGTCAGTGCTGTGTTGACGAGGTGCTGTGTTTCACACACCTTTTATAATATTTTACTTCTAAAAATAGATTTTTTTTTGGTTGATTAATTGTACATAGTCTTGTGTGGAAGCTGATAAATCACTATAAAAATAACAGGTAGATTTCTAACACACGGGCATGGTTAAAATGTGCTAACGTGGTGAAGAGGTTGAAGGTTCTAATCCTAATGTCGGCTCAGGGCGTCGCTCCGTTCATGTTGGTCGGCCTGTGTACTCGGGCCACACCCTGTCGCCGGAGCGAGTGGAGGGCGACAGCACAGCAACCTCTCAGCAGTGACCCGATTTGATAGATGGGCATGACGTCCCGTGGCGCCCCTCGACACAGCCAGGCCACAGCTGGAACTACAGGCACGGCCACGGCTAAAAGATCTACCAGGAAGTAGCGACTCCAGTGGCACGACTGGGCGGAGCGGTTGTCCTCGTTTTCTCCATCAGCTTCGTTGGTGCCATTCTGCTCCACCTCCATCCGCAGGGAGAGGGTGTCCTGCCCCAGGGGCAGTGAAGTTGTTGGCTGGGGCTGGCAGGTGTGGGGCTCAGGTGGTTCGTTAGGCTGTAGCGTCTCCACGGTGTACGGAGCCTCGGGGTGTAATGATCGAGGTAAACATGACAGATGGCGCTGTGGTTCTGACGTACAAACGTCCGGTGTGGCTGTGGAGGTGACGCTGACCTCCTCGGTGCTGGATCCGTCACACAGCCACGTCATGGTGGGACTGCAGGCCTGGGATCGGACCTCAGGCTTTTTCTCCGCTGCAGGAGTGGGGATGGTGACGGGGTCACTGACGGTTACCGCCACCTCCTCCTGAGGTAAGTGGAGAAACAGGTGGTGGTGAGGAAGGTAGGTGGGTCCGCTGCACCGGCAGCTGCTGCCGAGGCTGTGGCAGGAGTGGGACATGGGCAGCACAGCCCCCCCGCTGCACAGCCTGTCATAGTTGGCGGAGCGCGGTACAGTAGGTGGGGGCCGGCTGTGACTGCGTGTGGGGAGTGGCTCTGGCAGGAGAGCTGCCTCCAGGAGCAGGTGGGTTTGCCCCGGGGGGCGAGGTCCTCCACCCGTCTCAGGAGTGTTGGCGCCGTGCTCCAGCTGCAGGGCTTCGCTGCTCAGCCGCGTGCGGTTAGTGCTGCGGCTCAAAGTGCTGGCAGGGGAACAGCCGCAGGAGCGAGACCTCCCCCCGGGCCCTGAGTACGACCTTTGGCCGTTGGGGTCCGGTTCACGGACGCTGAGATTGGACTTGGCCGTCTCCACCACTTCCTGGAGATGCTGGATCTCCATACGAGCTTCTTTGAGCGCTAACTGAGCTTCCACGCGGTGACATTCCCCTTCGATCCACTCTTCCTGCATCTTGTAAAGTTGGCTCCTCAACTCATCGATTTCACAGTCCCTGGAGAATAACGTGGAGAGATGTAACAGCAGACTTACCCCAGAAACCACAAGTGTTTGGTATTTAAAAAAAAACTCTTCCAAGTAACTTTTCATTCCATCCATCTATGAAACGGGAGTAGAAGTTTATACTTTACTGCGTCTGGAGATTTGGGGAGTGTTTGGTATTTGTTCAAGAAACCACAGCTTAGCCGTTACCAAATGACCTACGGACTGGCACCGGTCCCCGGACCATGGGTTGAAAACCCCTACACTAGGCCACAGGCCTAGGTTTGTGTCTATTTTCTCTGCATCTCAACTTCTGGCTACAGAGCTGGCTCTTGGCATAGGTTGTAAACCGTAGACGCCACCTGCTGGAGGTGGTAGAATTTATATAACCTCTCAGAAAAAGAAAAAATGACTACAGTGGAGGTCATGGGGGTCACCACACCATAATATCATCATCAACACCAAAATGTTCCCAGCCAATTCTGATTGGCTACAACTCATGTCGGTGCATCATGCAGAGTAATTACCTGTGCTGCAGTCTCTCCACGTTCTCTCTCAGCCTGGCTCGCAGATGTCTGATACACACCTCCTTCTGCTGCAGAGGTGTGAGGTACTGCTCTGGGGTCGGAGGTCTGATGCCATGGTTGTCCCTGCAGGAGGTGTGCTTAGTCTGACGCCTAAATAAACACCCAGACACAAAACAGGGTGTAAACTGTGACCTCAGCAGAAAACAACCACCACAGCTGAGAGACAGGAAGTGTGCGACACCTCCGATGGTTACCTGGGTGTACTTGGATGTGTCCGGGCGATGAGGCTCTCCTCTGGTGGTCTGTTCCGACCAGGGTAGGTGTAGGTACTGGCTCCATCACTGGCGTACCGCACGTTGCCCCCGCTTGTTCCCACTGAGCGCCTTGAGGAAAAAAAGTGAGAAAATGCCACACTTTAACAAAAACGCCGCCGTTCAGACTTGGACAGGAACAGGACAAGGACGTACCTGCGCTGACTTGTGGTGGACTTTCGATTAGGAGTGAGAGGCATAGATGAGTGAGGGACCTCCGATTGAGCCACTGGTGTCTTTGGAGAATGATGCTAAGAACCTTCAATGAAAATCTGTAGAGCAGAGGGAAAAAAAGTTATAAATAACTGAAAGCCTCTTGAGTGACCTGTAGGGGGTGTATTAGCAAGAATCAGGCGATATGACACGTATCACAATACTATATTTTTTATGATACAAAATATTGCAATGAAAAAACGCTTCTCCCTCTAAAGTTCTAATACATATTTTGAGTATATGAGTACGAGTACATCTTTTACTAATAAAAAATCAACACATTGACTTAGAATATTAATACAATAATGTGAAACAAAATATTGCGATGAAAAAACGCTTCTCCCTCTAAAGTTCTAATACATATTTTGAGTATATGAGTACGAGTACATCTTTTATTACTTGTTCAAAAGTTCAACTAGATTTTTTAGTTTTGCTTACACTTTTTTTTCAGCCGTCAGACAGATGTATTGATCACATGTTAAAAAGTAAAGGTTAAAAAGTCTACCGTAAAGTAATATTGTGTATGCGTTAATGAAGTTTCCTCTCTCTCTGTAGAGGCTGTAGGGCCAATGGTGAGTGAGTTTTTTTTTGACCTGGTTGCTTGTTTCTCTCCTCCGATCTGGCAACAATGCAGAGACGTAAACCTCTATTTTAATCTTAAAGCTTTTAACAGGAGTTGAGGGATTGATCGCAGTTTTTCCACTGATATGATAAGAGAAGAGTAGCTCCATCTGTTAAATACCGTATATTTATGTACCGTATATTAATATATAAGTGCAGTACAGTGAAACTTAACGGTCTACGCCATAGGTTTTTGTGTCCTACATTGAAATTCTAGGACAACGAGACCGAAACGTCAGCCCACTCTTCTGGCTGCGCAACAGGTGTGTGTGAGAGTGTGTGTTATTGCTGGGAAATACGCAATCATCTTACGTAAGTGCAGTCGTCAGTGTCAACTGTGGAGGCGAACATCACAGCTGCTGGAGAGGACGATGCGGTTAATGCCGGATCTGAACGATATCGTAAACATAGAGCGAGAGGACGGTGCGATGTTTGTCCGCGAATCCACGTCGTGATCGGGATGTAAATGTGACGCCTACGTTAAAAGAGGCTGAGAGAGAAAAATACGATGTTCTCATGTCCGGTTGACTTACAGAAGGATCCCCCCCCGAACTGGACCCCAGAACCTGCAGAACGCCCCCCCTCCCAAAAAAAAATGTTCTGACTTTTACGTGTCTAAGTGTCACGAGTGTCCTACAAACAGGAACATCGCCCCCACTCATCCAACTACTGCTGCACTAACACTATCATCAAACGCTACCATTGAAGCCGGTGGAAGCAGTGCGTCGTAGAAAATCGTCACTTTCCGCCAGACGCGATGGTCGCCGAAGAACATCCCGTGTCGACCGCAGGAGAAGATGCTGATGCTGAAGATGCTGAGGCTGCTGGTGCTGGTGCTGCTCCGGGTCCATCCTACTGCCACGAAGCCCAGGAACCACATGAGACAACTGCGTCTGCTGCAGTTGCCTCTTAAAGCGGCAGGATGTGTGTGTGAGGACGAGGACTTTTCTATTTTGGTTTTTCTATAACAAAAAAATAAATAAATAAAAAATTCTGCTCTAGTTTTTCCAGTTTTTCTTAAGGCGGTGATTTATATTTATGTTAAAACTGAAGTCACTTGATACAATTGCGATTTTAGGTTATGATTAAAAACTACTTTTGGTAAAATGTACATTAAATTTAAACAAGAGAAAAGCATGGACCACTACATTAGACATAGTAGTACTTGTAGCAGTAGTAGTATTATAGTACAGATCATGTACATATGTTTGTATTTCCCTTCATTTGTCTAAAAAATGTTATTTATTGATAAAGAATAATTAGCTTTGTTTAAACAAAAACTAAAATAAAAGACTGACCTCTGTGAAAGATCTTTGTCTTTCTTCAATTCCTGTGAGTAAAGCAGCGTGGTGTTCAACTAAACTGGCTCAGATGTCACACTGAATAAGTAAATTGAAACTATTCAGTGTGACATCTGAGAAACTTTATATAAATAATACATTTTTGTGACATTATTTGATGGTGCATCATGGGATCTTTTTTCTAACATGCTGTGGCCCAAAAAACGTTGCACAACACTGCTCTAGATATAAGAAAACAGAGGAATAAATGACATGTAACAACTTTTTTTATTTTAAACATTACACCTTCTGTTTGTATATAAAAAGGACAAGTTGATAAATTGGGTCACGAGACTAATGTATTTTTAAAATTTAAATCTTGGTTTTCTAGATACAACCCAGAAATCCTTGTGGCCACTGGTACCTGACAAACCTATGGTACTGTAGGTGAAGCTCGAAAGCACTGAACATACAGATTAGCACCTTCTTACGATACCTCAAAAATGGCTCAACGACATGAGGTATTATAGCTGATATTAAATAGCTATACTAACCATAAATACATTTAAAAAATCTTTGAATGTCGAAACCTTTGACTGACGAAAGGAAAAAGCACCACAAACAAACAAAGATTTTCACAGTAGGAAAGTGACACACAGAGACATACTCAGAATGTACAGTATTTGAACATTTAAAAAGAAATCTGCATATAACCAAACATATATATAAACACTAAATTCATTCGCAAATTAATTCCCAGAATTCACTTTTTACATTCTAATACAACCATTTAGACGCCGACCAACCAGAACCTGAACTAACAAACTCCACTGTAATACTGTATTATTAAGTGCTTTCTGCTTTATAACTCATTGAACTTGGGTCCCGGTGTGATGACGATGTCCTTGTAGGGGGCGCTCTGGTGCAGGTGTAGAACCTCTTGTTTTTTTAAGACGAGCAGAGAGAAGAATGTGTTTGCAGCCTGCAGCCGATTGTTACCTTCACAGAGGGATCTCAGGCTGAACCTGGACGCACTGTTGAGCTGATGCACACGCACAGAGACACACACACACAAATGACATTCAGTTTGACATGTGAGATATATGAGATCGAGATATACTGTAGTGACATCCTGCCTCTGATGCTGCGAGTACTGCAGTTTAGAGAAATAATTTAAGATTTTAAGTTTAAAAACTTTGCCTAAAGGAATGACCTTTTCTGATTTATATGTTAGCTTTTGGAATTATCACTAGTGACATTTAACTTTACTACTCTAAACCCTTGGCATAGCACAGGGATTCCCAAAGTGTAGTGCGCGTGTGCTGCCACTAGAGGGTGCGCGAGATAAACAAATGGGACGGTTTGGGGTGTTTTGTTTAGTGTGATTTTCCCCTACAATAAAGACGTGTAAATAAACATTTCCTTTTGAAAAAAAAAAATTTAAATTTAAACTCAAACACTGACATTTCAGTGAATAAGTGAAAGTATTTATGTGTGTTCTGCCCATTTGAGCATGATTAAACATGCTGCCTTAAGCTTGTTTTTTATTTTGTTTTTATTTTTCCCAAAACTGTGGTAAATCAGCAAGTGTATAAAGATATTTGTTTTAGGCTCTTACTTGAAGAGTCTTCAGGAGCTTTTGTGTTCTCCTGGTGAGCTTCCACTCTGTGAGGTCCTGGCTGTCAGGTAGAGACTGGGAGTTTCAAACAGACAAACACGTGGGGAAATATTCTCATGTAGCCGTGTCATTGTGATTGATTGTTATTTGAAGAACAGCATAACTTAATTCTTATTTTGTGATTGTGTTGGTCAACCTGAGAGTCCAGAGATGTTGGAGGAATGAACTGTAGACAGATGGACAAACATGGAGTCTTCCGATGGAAGTTCTGGACCAGAGACCTCTGACCCATTCTAGGTAGTATGAAATAAAGGTGGTATGAGGTGACGAAGTAAATGTTTTACCCTACATGTCACCTGTACTGTGTAGCAGCTACTCACCTGACGCAGACCTGAATTATTGAACTTGTTGTTGGTGTCATCAAATAATGAAAGCTGAGTTGAGTCATTGTGGGTGTTGTTTACTGTATCGGTGAGAGTGATGTTCTCTCTAGAGAGTGAGAGCACATCGCCCTCATCTGTGGACAAAAAAAGACCAGGAAGACCAATATAATTAAATTAAATCTAGAATTAGATTTTAAGTTATCAATGTAAATAATTAAAAAATAATTTGTTCTTTTTGTCTTTAAATGTTTAAAAAAAATTAACCTACTAACAAATTCTACTTTTTTTGGAAAATTCACACTGTTCTCTTAACAGAAGAGTTTCTACCTTCTTGGCTTGTCTGACGGAACTCCTCAACTTCCCCACAAACTCTAAAACATTTCAAATGGAAGATATTCTTTGCAAACAGCTGAAACGACACATAAAATAAGAAAATACGAAGAAAAAAGGAAAGAAAGTATGAAATACATAAAAAAAAAAACTGACCAGAAATGTGGATTTTTTTAATTTTTTTTTTTACCTCTTTTATTTGTTGTGCCAGTGCCGTGGAGCACGGCTGAGAAAAAAGCTGCTCCACACCTCCGCTCTCCTTCCACTTCATTAGCTTGAAGGTCGGCGGCGCCATGTCCAACGGAGTGACCAGATCTGAATAATCAGAGAGCTGCTCCCTGATGACTTTATCACTCAGTTGTTTGTTGTGGTCCACAAGCAACTGACGCTTCCTTTTCCCCTTAGTCCTCCCTTCATTGGCTGGAGACAAAAACACAGTCAAGAAAGTTTGAGCCGTTCCTAGGATTACTGAGGTCGGTCGGGTGCCTACGTGTGATTGACACTGGTTCAAGAGTAAAAGCCTCTTCTCCGTTGACGTGCAGGATGGTGTTTTCTGGTGCCGGGTTGGCCGTCTCCTCTGGTCTTTTTATGTCAACCTCTGAAAAGCAAAGCAAAGTCGACTCATACTTCTTAGTTTCTACCGGCGCTCCATAAACTGGACGCTGTAACTGCAAAAAAAGCTGCTTTGTTTTCACCTTGTTGAGTTTGGAGGGGCGAAGACTGGGAATTAATTTGAGGCACTTCTGAGAAGAACTCGGACTCTACAGGATCACTGGTGTTTATGAGGAATTCTATAAAGTCATTAGAATAGAATCTGATGCAATTGAAGATTTCCTGGTACATAAACAGCGCTAATAAACAGGTGCAGAGATGATGTTTAAATATTATTCCTTTTTACACATCGATTTTTAATTTTTTAAATTTAGTTTATTTAATGTAATTTAATGAATTAGAAATTTATTTTTTTAAGTTCCATATAAGTGACTATACTAGATCACTAGCCACTTAAATATGCTGTTAAATAAAATAAATGACATTTGTTCATTAACTACCAAGAAAGTTATCTTCTTTGTCTTCATCTCCAAAAGTGTCTCCCTCCTGTGTGAAGCTTAAATCCAACAGTGCATTCTGGCGACTCATGGTTTCAGTCCCTACCCATAAGAACAAACAGCAGTCGGTTAAGAAGTAAGTACTAACATCTTTTTTTTTTCTCCATCTATGGTAGCAGATGCCACAATGATCAGATGAAGAATCCAATCAAACAACAAGAAAATAACGTGGTTCTCACCCATGTCTCCCATGCTGAGAAAGTCGACCTCTTTCATAGTGATGTCCTCCGTCCGACCCTGGTTCAGTGAAAAGTGATCATCTACGTCCATGTCGCTGGAGCCAGTATAAAAAAAGACAAGGTATGGACACACAGAGAATTGAGTGAACTGTCGATGATGTCCCAAAAGCACAAGTGATTTTTATTGATCCGATCAGTGGTGCGTCAGAGGATGTGTTACAATTCTACCTTTCCTGTGGCAGCTGAACCTCAAAAGCCTCAAAATCCTCATTTAAATTAATGGCTTTTGCTGTGGCCTCCAGTCCGTCCTGAGGCAGATCTGTCTGATCTACAGTGTTGGGAGCAAATCAAGACAAATAATACAAAAAAATGAAAAAAATTGTGATAGAGATCAGAGCAGAAGAAATACTTCTAAACAGATAGTTTGAATGTAAAGGCATGTTACAAATACTGAGATTTTTTTTTTAATGCCTCTGAAAATGAAGAACAGGAAACAGATAGTTTGAATGTAAAGGTATGTTACAAATACTGAGATTTTTTTTTTTACTAGTTATTTACTTCTAGTATCCATCCTTTTCATCTATAAATCAAACAATGTATCTTCCTCTTTAAGTACTTTTACTACCTGACAACTTTCTTCCCAAATGTTTTACAGTAGTTATATTGCCATCTAGTGGCTACTGTGCCGCAGTGGTAGCGAACTATATTATATATATATATTTTCTTTTTTTACATCTGATTCAATTAATTTCTTTAGCAGCCAAACAATGCAGATATTAAACCTGTCTCGACGATGATGATACTTTTATGATGATTCTTCACCTTAACCATGTCCTTAAAAGTACCAGGTTACCATAGACCACCAGTGATTTTAAAAGTTAAAGTATACAAATTAATAAGCAGTGAGTTGTATTAGTGATTGACTCTCTCAGGCAGTCAGTAACCAGACAGGTCCTCAGACTCTTACCTGGCCTGAATGCAGTTTTTATTTTGACCAGAGCCTCACTGCAGTCTGCCAGCAGGTACTTGGTTTTTTTGGAGTAGATCCTGACCACACCAAGGAGAAGATGACCAGACGTCCTCAACCCGATTTTCATCTTCAAAGTAATTGTTTTTTTTTAAATATTCAACAAAGGGGAAATTCAGCTGACTCAACAACACAAAGTGAAAAGACAAGACGGCCATAAGAGGTTAAAAAGAAGCAAATAAAAGAATGCAAGTAAGCTTTTTACTATGATATAAATTATTAATAAAAACAAAATCTCAGTTCCAGTTTGTCTTACCTTTGGAGAAATTATGTCTCTGATTGTTTTTTCTAAGTTGCATTCGTGTATATGGGTCTTAGTCAGCTTCCTTTCCCAATGCGCAGCTAACCAAATTTTGGCTAAAGGTCCACGCTTGGATGTGAAGAGTTGAGTGTAAAACATGTTGCAAAGATCTGAAATTCACCTGTAAAAGTGAAGGAAATTAAAAAACAAAAACAAAACACAAGCATTTACTAGGCTACATTTACTTCCGTTTTGCCCACCACTTCACCTGGCCCAGGTATCACGAATGGCACGTTTATAAAAGTTCGAGAACCACTGAAATTTTTTACCATAGCGCAATAAACAGGTCAGTTCTAAAGGGGTGGAATTATTTTGCCCTGGAACTTTGTGAAATAATGTTTTTTTTCTGATTGCAAATACAGAAAAATATTATTATTAAATTATTATTTTAAATGTCCTGTGACGTAAAATAAAACAATATTATTTCCACTATACTATTCTACTTCCTCACGTAATGTTGACAAACTCAGCTAATTGTTTGTTAGCGGCAACGAATGCTCTACTTCTATATACAACAACAGCACACGCCGCGTCTCTTGCCGAAGCCGTTCAGTAAAATTGAACATTATATGGCCTAAATATTTCATATAAAAGAATAAGTAGTAAGATATAACTTAGCTCGTCTTACCGTCACTTCGAAATTACCGCCTTTTAATGAGGGGCGCGTGCGCATTAGCGCGAGCTCCGTCGCGTTGGTTACGGTTGGGTGGACGCCGACTGTTATTGTTTTTCAAAATCGACAGTTCTGTGAATAAACATAGTTTCAAGATTTAAAAGTCGCCGACATTTTGTTGCGGAGCTTGTTTACATTCCTGGCGTTCTATTAAAAACATTGACAAAAGATAATCGCAAACAAATGTGTCTGTTCCTTTAATTGTGTTTTTTCTCATTTCCGGAAATGGCTTTTTGGCTTTTTTTTTTTTTTTTTTTTTTTTTTAGAATTTAATAAAGACGAGAAAAACCCAAAATTTTTCAACAAT